GCTGGGGGGCAGTGGGTGGCTTGCTTGAGCCGTGCCAGGTGCAGGGTCTGCTGGCTGGGTGCTGGCAGGTTTGCACCTGGCACGGGAACTGTAGCCAGCCCGTGCCCCTTTAAGGGGTCCGGGACCGGGAGGGGGGCATACGAGTTTCCCTGGTGGTGCCCAGAGTGGCCACCAGGGAAAGCTGGGGAGGGCTAGCCTCCCACTAGTTCGAATTAAGTGGCTACACAGCCCTTAATTCGAACTAGCTAATTCGAACTAGGCGTTAGTCCTCGTAAAATGAGGTTTACCTAGTTCGAATTAAGCGCTCCGCTAGTTTGAATTAAGTTCAAACTAGCGGAGCGCTAGTGTAGCTCCTATCAAAGTTAATTCGAACTAACGTCTGTTAGTTCGAATTAACTTTGTAGTGTAGACATACCCCATACTAAATGAAGTCTGTTTAGCTTTAAAAATACACAAAGCAAACAATCAAAAACAAAGGAACTTCAGCAGATTTTTATGGGGGCTTTGGAAAGATGTCACGTCTAAAATTAATAATTTTATTGACATTGCCCTGTGATCAAAGGAGCCAGGGTCCCAGGGGTACTTCACTGGGTTCTGTAGTATAAAGCTTATATATACACACATTTTATACTGTAGAACACGCAGCCAAGGTAACTGTGAAATGGCTTGGCTTTTTAACGGTTACACAGTTACATTTCTAAATGAGTTTTTACATTCCTAGTGTGGAACAGACCCATGTTTATCTCACATCATTAGACATGGGCAAATTTAGTCATGGTACAAAACTACTCGTAAAAGCGATTTTCAAAGAGCCAATATTTTATTTTTACCTTACTGCCTCAATTAAAAAACTGGTATATCACCTAACGCAGGTTGGGGGTGAGTTTTTGAGTCTTTAGCTCTCAGGTGCGTATAATTGAGTATATAGCTTGTTTACGAGGGCTGGCTGAAAAATATCAAATGAAACATATTCCCAGTGGGGAAAATAGGGTTCAGTCAACATTTTCAATGAAAATAGCTCTATTTCTATGGATTCTTCCATCAGTACAATCCAAACAAAACCTTGTAAAAGTTCTTTGAAATCAATGGACTAAAAGCACTAATTGGACCAGATGCAAAGACCATTAAAACCAATGGAAAGCTTTACTATAAGGTTTAATATAATTATTTCCTGCTTAGCCATTGTCTGATCTTAGAAAAATTACTTTACTTTCCTGTACCTCAGTTTTACCTGTTAAATGTTATAATAGTATTTAACTATGTCTGTAGGTGTGTGTTGAATCTTGATGAATTAATATAGGGAAATACTTTGAGTTCATAGGAAGAAAGTTGTAATAATTATAATTATTAAATGTTTCCATGGTCAGTATTTTTATTATTTACTACAGCTCAACTTTCCCCCAGGTTGGAGACTCTTTTCAGTCCTTTGCTCTTGATTCCTGTTAGCATATTGAAATTTTTTATTTGCTTTCTGAATCAAACTTTTTCTTTCAGCCATTTGCCAATGTGACCGGCTCTTTGAATGACAAGGGAGTGTGCCAATGCTCAGTGTACCTGCCAGACACCACGTTTCCTGTGCAGAAGGTTGAAATGCTGCAAATCACAGCCTACACGCTTTCTGAGAAATTTGACAGAGAACTTAGTAAAGTAAGTTTTTTTGTTTTTTCTTTTAAAAACATTCCCAGCCCTATTTTTATTGAACGTGAAACAGTGCCATAGTCAGTGCTTTGTGGGGCTGGTCTTCAAAGCAGCTGCAGGGAGTGGCATGTAGAAGTCATAGGGAAAGGGCGATTAAACATAAAATATTCAATATTATAGCATGCAAGCAAGGCACTGTAATAACATGAGTTTCAAGTATCCTCAGGACTCACTCCTGAGCCTGCAGGCACATGGTGTTCTTGTTGGGATGGAAGATGGGTTACACTATTCTTTATGAACTGTGGAGCAGTCTTGTTGGCTATTAATTGCTGAACACAATCACAGAGGAAGCTATGACTCCTGCTCCCTCCAGTGTTGTTACTTGTATGTCCAGTGTTGTTACTTGTCCGCACCAAGCTTATGGGAGGGAATGAGGAAAAAGAGAGCAAATGTCAGCTTGGCCCACACTGATGCATGAGCAAAAATCCAGCTCCCGGTCCCGTCCATTCCTTTAACAGCTGAAAAAAAAAATCATTTATTGTCTCTGTTAACATCGGATGCTCTAGCAATGACTACTGATTTATGCGTTCCAGTTAAAGATAAATGCCTTGCCCTTTACACTACTTTGCTTGTTTGTTGCAAGAATTCAGATCTCATTTTTCTTGCAAAAATAAGGCAAAACTAGGAGACCACTGTAGTTTCTTGAGAGAAGAGCTCACATTTGGGCTTTTGCTAGCAGATTAATATTCACGGTTTAAATTAGGTGTCCAAGAGAAAGTGTTTGACTTCTCCAGGAGCCAGACATCGTAAGAAATGAAGTGTCCTTGAATTAATCAGCAGAAAAGGCATGGCAGTAAATTATAAATTCTAACCATAAATATTCATAACTCTCTTCTAGTATAATCAACAGATGCATAAAAACACAATAATGGGGGGAGAATCCTAGAGACAATCTTTTCAGTTAAAATAATTTGCTTTGAAATAACTAGAGCTAACGATGACACACATTTAGTTGTCAGTAGCAATATGAAGGGTAATTTGACAGAAATCTTCGTGCCTCTCGGCACAAAAGTTACCTGCTCACTTGAGGAGGAATATGGAACTTGACATTTATGATCAAGGAAAACACTAGGTCAGGGATGGGGAACCATTTTTGGCTCGGGGGCCGCTGACCCACAGAAAAATCAGTGGGGGGGCCACACACAAGTGTGAAGCGTGTGTGTGTGGGGGGGGCATGCCAGTGTGGGCTCCCCAGTAGGCATGTGGGCTCCCACATGAACCAAAAATACCGAACACCTCCCCCCCCCAAATAAAACCACCAGGAAAAAAATTCTATTGAGAGGAAAAAAAAGAGGGGAGACTAAAGTTGTTGAGCAAAAAAAAAAAAAAAAACAAAACAAAATACAAAAAAAAAACAAACAAAAAAACCCCCAAAATAAAAAAAATTAAAATAAAACAGCATTACCCCTTTCAGAGTGAGTGCAGAGTTAGAATAGGGATAGGAACAAGGGAGAAGTTGAGCACTAAGACCCAAGGAAGGCATTTCTTCCCGTTGGTCTTTAGGCTTTTTGCCAATGGCCATTTTGTGTTCTTGTTCAAGCCCAGGCCCGGGTGATGGGGTTGCCAGGTGTCTGATATTTTTTACTCCTATCCAGGAAAAAAAAAACAGAAAATACTGGACATTTAGGTGTCCGGTATTTTCTTAATTTTTTACTGGACAGGAGGTGAAAATACTGGACTGTCCGGGTCAATACCGGACACCTGTCAACCCTACTCCCCCATGCTGGGGGGCCCTGAGCTTTGAGGAGCTGGATCCACGCAAGCTCGGGGCCACACTGGCCCCCAGACCTGAGGTTCCCCACCCCTTCATAGGTATTTAAGGGCTCTGTAGTACTACCATTGTTGTCAGTGGCAAAATTTCAACTGCTGCCAAGGGCAGAAGCTAATCTCCTACTGAAGTGAAACTCTACACTGGCTGTTTTTCCTGAGTCAGGACAAAATATGGATGGCAGGAGCTGGATGAATTTTTGCAACCCTGTAGCAGTTTTCTTTTTAAAATACATCTGGACTCTAGTGACCAGACCCTCAGCTAATGTCATTTTCTTGAAGCCAATGGAATTGTGCCAGCATATACCAGTTTAGGAGTTGGCCCTCACTTTTCAACTGCAGTGGAAGATACTAAAAAAAAAAAATAAATCTTGACCTAATCTGAGTTTCACTGCACTTTATCAGGTTGTGTCTAATCAGCCAAACAATTGTTACAGTGCATCAAGTCAGAGTGTGACAGATCCTTCAATGTGATCTCAGGCAAAGAGACATCAGGTCAGGAATGAAAACAAACAAACTGTATATTTGTTTAACTGTGGGGCTGTTACAATTTTGTAGCTCATTATGTTGCTAGTCCATAGAACTAAGAAAAATACAAAGCGTTGGCCTGTTCGCCTGAGTGAAGTAAATTTAAATGTATAGATAGCAACAGAAGATGCTAGAAGCTATGTGTATATTTGTACTTGTCTCATGAAAATTTATTTCTCAGGTGGTCTTTGAAATGAGTTTCTCGCCTTTCTAGCTGTAAAAATACTGCTCAGTGTGTAACCCGATGTACTGCTTGTTTTCCTGAAAACACTTATGGACAAAATGGAACAATAGAACTAAAAGATCTTCCGACTCATCCTAGTGATGAAGGGGTTTGAGCCAAAACTCTGGGTTCCAAACACCCCCACACTCTGGGGATGTTTAGATTCAGATCCAGCATTGTTGCCCAGACTAATCTTTACCCATTATGGAGTAGAAGCATCTACTGAACTACTGTAAAATTTGAAGCAACAAGGCAAATCATGAACACTTAGATTTTGGTTTTGAATCTGAGAACCACTTTGCAAAGAGAGTCAGAATAAAAGACAGATCTTCAACTTATTTAAATGCATGTAGCACCATGGAAGATCATTTATAACTTGTCATTTAAACTAGCTGAGGATGTAGCTCAAGTGACATAACTGCATTTCACCATCCCAAAGTGGTTGGCTTCAATCTTGCCTTACTTTGTTAGTCAAAAATCCATTTGAAGCTAATGGGAGATTCTCCTGAATAAGAACTGCAGGTTCCAGCCCTTTAAGAGGTGTTATATATGTTAGAAGTCCCAGCTATATCACTTGGTTGAATCTCTAAGCTGTTGTCTGATGTGGGCTGCTAATTCAGCAAGCAAGAGGGACTCTTTTATAAAACCAGCAAGTGCTGCATTTCACACGGATACTTAGATATTCCAAATCAATAAAAACCGCAGGCTGAATATGTTGGACTAATTTTTTATCTGTAATTTGATAATTATGCCAGCAAAGTTTCAGGATGAAAAATCAACCTGTTAGACTAATGCAAGAATCTGCTCCTCTTCCTAAGAGTGAAGAGATGGATGGCTGTCTTTGTGCACCTCTTGTTAGAAAGGAAGAATAGTAACTGAAACAAAAGGGGGAGAATGTGCCTTTCAGTGCTTTGATCTCAATGCCCAGAACATGCTTGTACAATAAAAATAGGAAGAGCAAACACACCTTCCCACCAGAGATGAAAACTATATTAAAGACAAATTATTCTGTTGGAACTATTCCTCTTGATCTCTAGCTGGGTTATATGACATGTGAGTAACATGCTCACTATGATCATGGAAGTCAGACTTCTCTGTGGCCAATGCACTCACATGTACAACTTAGAATTTCTTGCTCATGTCATGTGTCATTTCTATCCACCTTTATCTCCCGCTCCATCCCTTTTTCATTCTATGACCTTCCTTCTGCTTCCTCATCCCTCCACTCCCACCCTCCAACTGTGTGCTGGAGGAGTGTCTGCTTGCATGCCAAGACACCTGTGTTGATAAATACCAGTGTCAGGTAACTGACACAATAAATGAACATTACAGATTTTCTACCTGCCCTTTTCAGGCTCTTAATGTGACAGTGCTTACAAGGGAGGAAAAAACTAGATAGGAAGTATTTTTACACATGCCTAAAATGGATGCATTTTATATTTAAGGGTGAATTTCACCCCATGCAGAGGTCCACCACAAGGCCTATGCACTGCTCACATCCCATTGCAAAGCTCTGTGATGGATGTGGTTTATGTACTCAATTGCTGAGATGGTGTACTGTATTGGCCTGCTAGAGGGAAGCACATGGTGTCAACACAGACCCTTGTTACTCCAAATTTCGCTGGAGACCACCCCAAGGTTTCTCTCATATGGATTTATTAAATGAGGAATTAATAATCCGCTACAGGTTAAACTATCATTGAATGCCATTATAGGGTTAAACTGAAAGGGATTGTGCTATCTCTCTCACCCACACAAACACAAACATTCATTAGTCCATTCACACGCACACACATTCATGCCCTCAGGCAGGGGCAAATGAAGGTAATGTGGGGCCCAGGGTAGCACAATTTCGTGGGGGCCCCCTTTGGACACGGTGCATGCGCCATGGCAACACGGCACATGTGCGGGGCCTCTTGAAGCGTGAGGCCCGGGGCAGCCGCCCCGCTCGCCCTGCTCTACATCCGCTGCTGCCCTCAGGCACTCACAGAGGCAAAAGGTTACAGAGCAAGCCAAGGCATATTGACTCCACAGGTTTGTCTCTAGCCATGGATCCTGGCTGGGGAGCTGATCAGAAAGAGGAGTTTCTGCCATGTGCTCTCTCCTTTTACTGGAACTGGGTGGCTCCTGCTGTCACTCAGGCAGGGGTCCTATCCCACAGTTCCTTCCTCACGGAGGACCATGCCCAGACCTCCCTCAGTCCAGATCCTTTGTTTGCTTAGAGCAGCACTGTCTCTTTAATTAGTCACTACCTGGCTCCTTCTCCACTGTTTAGCCTTGCTATTTCCCTCACCCCAAACAGGCTACATTCACATACACATTCTTATCACAGAGGGGAATGCAGCAAAGTGGCTGAGAGTTAAAAAGATTACAAAGTTGCAAAGCTCCACAATCACCAAGCTTAGGGTAGGTTTCTGAATTTACAAAGCTG